AGGGTGGTCGGGGTAAGACTTTGTGAAAGACTACTTACTAGTTGTTGATTATGATAAACCACAGAAGATGGACAGCACAGAGGAATTGTCATCAGCAAGGCCAAGAAGGGGAAAGGCCTGCAGTGGGAAAGAGTATGTTTGGGGAGCTTCATGGCTGCATCAGATGAGCAGATGGGGAACAAAGTGGAGCATGAATACTGATGGGATAGTAAGAAGGCACACTGTGGGAGTGTGGTAGACAGACACTGAAGAGCTCTGGAGGACCTGAGCAGGGGAGTAAAAGTTAATCACACAGTCATCTGCATGAGAGTTTGGAAAGAGGACAACCAGAGGTTACTGGAATGTTTTAAGCAAGAGGGAAGGAGGCATCAGACTCAGAAAATGAAAAGAAAGGGAAGGATGGAACCACAAAGTTATTCTGGATCATCAAAAGGTATAACCAGCTGAACCTAAAATTAACTGTCCTCTCTTCACACTAGGGTCCAGGCAGGGTATGACAGGAAGCATAAGTTACTCCAAGGAGTGAAAGAGCTAACATTTATTGAAGGTCTACTGTGTGTCAGAAACTGCACTTAATGCTTTGCACACTTTATCTTATCTAAATCGCCACAGCAACCCATCCTGAGAATGATCATCAATTATAGACGAGAAAACGTAGGCTCATAGAAGTAAGATGACTTGCCAGTGCTTGTAGACTCCGTAAAAGGACGAATAACCCAACAAACGTTAATTAAAATAGCACCTACTGTTTGCCAGGCACCATGGGAAACAAAAGTGAACAGATAGCATCCCTGCCCCTGTATTCAAACCCAGGTCTGACTCCTAAGCTTGTCCATTTGTTCATGCCCTGCTTTATACTCTTAGAAGTCACTGGTCTGATTCCATTAGCATTTGACTAATGCCATATTGTATCTATACTGCTAAAATTAAGCCTAATTTTTATTATTTTTTAAATCATTATTACTTGGCTGAAGAATGTGTGTTTACACATCCTTTTAAAATGTTTATGAACCTGATTTTCTAGGAAGTCACAATACTTTGTGCTCAGCTGCTCCTTACTCATATTTTAGGTAAGAATGGCTGATATTAACTCCCAGACCAATGTAAAGGAACAGATTATATCAAAGCTGAGGGCTTATCCTCACTCTTGTAGTCCCACTTTTAACGAGTCACAACAATTACTTTAGATTCAAAATAATCTACCAGCTAATACAAGAGTACAAAGTACAAAAACCTAATTTATATCAAAATACTTAATTACCTTGAACAGATCACTCAGGAATGAAAAATTCATGAATAATTTGCATGCTTTTAATATTTAGGATATTACAATTAAAAAATATATATGGAATTCTAAGATAATTGGAAACTATTTCTTGACTCATTCAATAAATATTTATTGAGCACTTACTAAGTACAAGGCAATATTATAAGTCCTGTGAAAGATTCAGAAATTACTAAGACTGGAGCCTGTTTTCAGGTGTTTTTAGACTGGTAGAGAATAAGAGACAAGAGAGGTATATCTGTATAATTCTAGGCCAGGTCATGTGGTTGTTGGGAGACAGTTCTCCACGGGTCTCTTGTATTTCTGCATGTATTGTGAATGAGGCACTGATTGCCCTTTGCTCTGGACTCTCTTCAAGGATGCTTCTATAGAAAATAACCTTGGAAGGTGGAGCTAGTGTTGCCCTCAGGAGCAAAGGGCAGTCTTGCTTATAACAGTTTCTCCTTCCATAGCAAAGGGTAGACATGCTTACTGCCCAGTATAATAAAGATAATGGCTTCCTCGAGAGTAAAAGGCAGGCATGTTTACTGCCCATTATAAAAGATTCAGTTTCCCTAAGCTCAATGCCCCTTTTCTATAATGCAGCCCACCATGTACAGATGTCACCTGGCCCTCTTCATGTCACCTTGTAGGACATGCTCAAGTCACAGTCACAGGTGCAAAAATGCTGAGGTTCTGCTACTGCTATTGCTGTGAGTAATAAACTGTCCCTCATCACTGACCCAGGAGTCTCACGTCTTCTATCAGCATCCATGAAACTGTGGTAGACTAACTGTTAGATTGGATGTAGGGTAAAATCCCAGATCCTTGACCGTTCTTGACAGTGATAAATTGCAAAAATGGCCACAAATTCTTCCCCTTCCTGTATATACTCCCTTTAGTACTAGCCTGCCACACGGAATATAGGCTTGGCCATGTGACTTGCTGGCCCAACGAAACATTAGTAAATGTTATACAAGTAGAAGTTTGAAAAGCACTGTACATTGAGACTTGCCCTCTTGCTCTTCTTAGAATCTAGTTGCATGTAAAGAAGCCCCGGCTAGCCTGTTGGATGATGAGAAATAAATGGTTCAATTTCCACTATAACCCCAGCAAACAGACAAGTGAACAAGTCCAATGTAAATCATCCAGCCTCCAGCCAACCCTTCAGGTAAGTGCTGATGTAAGACTGAACCCAACACTGATCAGCTGAGCTGGCCAGACCAGAAGAACTACCTAGCCTCTATGTTTTAGGGTAGTTTGTCAAGTAGCAAAAGCTAATCAAAGATACAAAGTACAAGGCAAAAATTACTTCCAGTATAATATCTATATGATGAGCTTCTAGAGGGCTTTGTCTATGTCTGGTTAAATACTGAAATTCCAGCACTTAGCACAGTGCCTAGAAAGGAGTTAAGTGCCAACTGTTCCAATTTTGTCTTGGTTTCTCCATCTGAACAATTAGTACACACTTATTTTTCATCTCACAAGCAAGTTGTGAAATTTAAGAAACTGTGTATGAATCCAGCAGGCTACATGGCTTAACTAGAAAAAGCACAATTTGGTACCCTGGGAGACAGATGTGTGAAAACTGGCTCTTCTACTAACATCTGGCAGACATTGGGCAAGTTATTTAAACATATTGCACTTTAGTTTCCTCATCTCCAAAGTGAGAATAATAAAGTTTACTTCATAGGCTTTATAACACAGGTATTATAAAGAAGGTACTCTGTGCATAACCTACCAGAGTATGGGGGGCGTTGTGGTCAAGGACATGAAAAACTCCCTATGGAGCAGTTGTACTGTACACACATGGGGTCACTATGAGTTGGAATTAACTCGATGCAACCAAAAATAGCAAAACAACAGTACTAAGACTGTTAAATGCAAACACTCTCCCATACACACTTGCATAAATGCAAACCATTTCCAAAAAGTAAATGCAAAGCCTAACAAGTGGAGACTAAGAAGAGAGAAGCTAAGCACCAAGAAGGCTACACTATGGTCGAGAACAAGGCAAAACTCATGTTACATAATATACATACAATCCAAAGTATTTTGTTGTTTCAAAAACCCTCTGAATAACATAAACTTTCTGGAAGATTAATACCTGACAATGTGAAAGTGTATAAAAAGTATCATCATATTAATGGAACTGAAAGGTCACTTTACAAATATTCAGCTTTCATTTTAATGGTTTAGAATTAAATTCCTACTTTTTATTTTAGAAACAGACATTTCAAGCAATTACCTTTTTATTCTCTATATTACTAGGTTTTATCATATCTAAAACACTTTTTGAAAAAATGCTTTATTTTATGAATTGACATCTTTGAAAATTCTCTGTAAGTTGCTAAATGGCAACTGACTACAGTTAATATTTTCTCTTCAACATCAAAAACAAGCTTATTATTGGAAATATCCAAATTAAACCAATACATTGCCCAAGGGCCTCACTTGGTTTCAGAATAATTTTGAGGCTTTAGGGGAGAGAAATTAAAATAAAAATCCACAATTTCATTTATATTCCAAATTTACTTAGCTATTTTATACTGCTATATTTTATAGTTGCTAGTAATCACCAGTTAATTAAAACAACACTAAAAAAGAAATTAAATAAGAATTAAAATTATATATATTCATAAATTAACATTGCAAAAAATTCTGGCTAATAACTGTCAAGGTTTGTTTTTCCTCATATTCTTATAAGAGGAAGACTACATTCTGGTTAAGAGTCAGACTTGGAACTCAATTCTAGATTTGCCAGTTATAAGCTTTGTGACTTTGGGCAAATTATTTAAATTTTGAGATTCAGTTTCCTTATATATAAAATGGTTATTTCAATAGTGTGTGTGTATGTTTGTATAATGGGTTTTTGTGAAGATTAAATGAGATATGCATATAAAGTCCTTTGTCCACCACCCGAATCAGAGTAAATGCTAAGTAAATGACATCAATTATCTATAGCTACAAGTTTCATCTTCAAAGGACAATTATATGACCCCATAACATTCACCACTGGAAATCAAACTCCAAAGTTCTACTGAACAAAGACAACATTATGCCTTCTTCAGCCGCAAAGATACCCATGTGTCAAACATAAAGGTCCATATTGCCAGTTGTGTCCACGTCCCTGGAGCAAATAGAAAGTGTTAAGTAAAGAACATGCACAGAAAATTAAAAATTAGAAACACTACATATATTTAGGGACATCCTAAAGGTTGGCGGTTCAAACCCATTCGGCAGCATTGCAGAAGAAACCCATCCACTGGCGATCTGCTTCCGTAATGATTACAGCCAAGAAAACCCTATGGAGCAGTTGTACTCTGTTAACACATGGGGTCACCATGAGTCAGAATCAACTCGATGGCAACGGGTTTTTTTTTTAATGTTTTAACAACTTGTTTTATGGATTGTTTCTTCCATATCCGGAAATATCCAGCTCCAAACCACACCCCATTATGGAGCATTACAATGCCACATTTTCTTATGGTTGCCCCTTGGCTCAGATGCGAAGTAGAGGTCTGCCCTCCATGAGGGACATACAAGTGTGCAACTCAGGGAGGATCCCAATGGGACGCCAAATCTCATTCTGCCCAGGAAAGAACACAGGCCCCCAACATGCACAATTCTGGGGACCACCATCTCATTGGCTGCCAACGGGGTGATAGTTTAGGAAGCTTTGTTATTCTTTGTTCACTGATATCTTAAGACAAACAAACAAGCTACCTTGACTTACCCGGAAATAGTCGCTGCATGCTGCTAGGACTGCCTTGTGAGCATGGAATTTCTGTTCCTCGGCAATCAGGGTGACATCGCAGAGGATGCCATCACTTCTCTGCTGATTCAGCGCTGCCAGGACACTATGGTTGTGCGATTCAGAGTGGCAGAGCCTCTGGCCTGTCAGCATTTCTTGAATACTGTGAAGGACAGCAGTCAAGTCAACATTCTGACTTTCACCAGGCCTGGGTGCCCCCATGTTCTCTCACTGCTTCAACACTGACTTAGGGATCACTGATGGCACTGTACTATCTCCACAGTGGAGTGAGATCTTCCCATTCCTGCTCTTTCACCAGTTTCTTGCTCTCCTTTACTTGATTCTCTCTACCCCTCTGCCCTGCAGGGTCTTGGTCTGTGTTTGTCTGTCCGTCTATCTCTCTCTCTCTCTTCTACTAGTGCATCTCTTTCTGAATTCATGTTTGCGTGCCTGCCCATCTGTCTGTGCCTGCATATTAGTCCATGTCTGTGGTCCATGTCGCCTCAGTGTGTGTACATTTCTGGGTGCAAAGCCTTCTCTGGATGTGTGTCTAGCTATGTGTATTTGTGTGTGTGTGTGTGTTTGTGTGTGTATGTGTGCATGTGTGTCTCCTCTCTGAGACCCCTCTCTAGGTCTCTGACTCTTTCTCTAGCTTTGTATTACCTGCATGAGATTATTAGGGCAGGGTCAGAATGTGATCATGGCCATGTACTCATCCATCACAGAAATTCACTAGACCTGGATAACTCACCAGAGATCCAGGAAGTTACCATGTCTCCCCATAAGGACTCATACTCCATTAATTAACAAAAGACAACTGAGCAAATGTTGGTTAGGGAAAAAGGGATGTTGGTGACCATTCCATGTAAAAGGCAACTAAACCATAGCAGCTTATTATTAAAACTGGGAGATTATGTACCACAAGGAGAACATCACAGGAAGTGCCATTGTAAATGCAAACAGATTTAAACCAAAGTAAAATATATCTGTATTATCAGTCTTTAACATCTACGTGTGATCACTGTAGTAAATTTATGAATGAATATACAATTTTATTTTCTGTTCTTTTTTGTAAAATTGTTTAACTTATCCCTCGTAAAATTTACCCCTTCCCTCTCTATCTCATTCTAAACCACTTATCCTTATGTCCTTTTAAAACTCGTAGGTGAAACTCCATATCTTCCTAAAATGATACAGAATTGAAGGCCATAAACACCAAATGCAAACTGAACTTATAAATATCTATGGACAATACCAGCTTAGAAGAAAACCTCTACAGTGTCTTAAGGTCTTGGAACTGGTAGTTGACTACGGTGGGCTAAGATGTACTGGTAGTAGGGTACTCACAAAATGAGAACAAAGGCCATCGGGCCACAGGATACTCGTTTTTCTTTTTCTGGCCTCCAGACTCTTTTCAAAGCTCAGTAAAAATACCATAGGTATGACAGAGCATCGTCTCTCCTTTCCCAGTAGTTCCTGCATCCAACCCCTCTCTGTAGATGTGAAGGAGCTCCTCAGGGGAGCCAGGGAGTCTCCACCAGCCCAGTCTGCATGGCTGATTTATTTGAAAGGCTCTGCTCAACCTGTGGTGCCAGCTGGCTGGTACAGTACAGTTAAGCACACATCACCACCTTAAAATTAACCAAATGCTTCCCATGAAGTGCCAGGAGGCAGTCAGTAAGCTTTATTGGACATTGTTGGCTGAGAAGCATCAGAAATGTAAGAACTATGGAAAGAAAAATAACGGGTCAGGAGGTGATAATATAAGCAGTTACCGTAGGAAGGTGGGAGGATTATTTTCAGTTGAAATGTAGCATCTACTAGCATCATGTAGTGACTCCATCTCTAGGCAGGCTTTCAAAATTAGTAATTAAAAATGCCTTTGAGAGCAAAAATAATTTTTTATAAATTTTTTATGCAAAGCTTAGAATGGAGATTAATTAGCATCACTCAAAGAAATAAAGGAATAGAATAATAGTAGAAGTACTATATCAGCTAAGGAAAGCTTTAGGATAGTCTTTAAAAAACCATTTCCAAAAGGATGACATTTTTATATATTAACAACCACATAGTACTTACTATGTTCCATGAATTAAGTATTAGTAATTTACAATTATTAACTCATTTAATCTTCACAACAACCCTACAAGGCAGGTACTATTATTACCTCTATTTTACAGATAAGAAAACTGAAGAAACATCATCAAGAACACAATAATATTATTCCACTTACTGCTTAAAAAAAAAAGGCAATGTGTAAAGGTCTCAAAAATCTATGCTTGAGGGAAAAAAAAATCACAAAAATATCTATTAATTTTATACTTAATTATATATAATCTCAAATCGAAGTTACCTCTTAGAATATTATACATGAACATAACATGAGACAGTGATAAGAAATGTCTGAAATCATGTTTCAAAAACATTTATCTTCACACTGAGACTAAAGGAAGTTTAGGAATAAAATATAAATTTTAATTATTATAACCTTAGAAAATGTATCTGTTAACTTTTATAATTTCTTTTGTCCCTACTTACATAATCTTAAATGCTACATAAATATATTTTGAAATTTCATTTGTAGTGGAAAAGATGAACGTATTGAAATAATTACCTTAAAATGTTTCCTAACTCATTTTCCAAATATAGTGCCATAATTCGTGTCCTTAGTATCAAGACTGAATCAGTATTTGCATTTCAGACATCTATTGACAGTGAATAAATCTTGCCAGGGAAAGAGCAGCTGTAAACTGAAATTTGGCAAAGAATAAAGGGCTCAGCTCTCAAACAATTCTGATGCTGTACAATTTCACAGGATCATTCAGCTGAGCTTGAAACACTCAAGCTTAAAGAAAACAACATGCTAAATATTTAAGACAACACTTGGCACAAGATACTAAATATTTCGCAACCAATATGTTAGGAATCCTTAGAAGTAGAAACAAACACTCTGACATTTGGCAAGAAATAAAGGCCTACTAATCAACAAGTCATTATTATATTTGAAAGTAACATCTCACTCCAATCTCAGATATAAATCTACAAAAGACCTTGACCCTGTACACATTTAGGCACATGTGGCCACAGAACACAGCTGGAAGGTGACAGGCCCACTATGTGAAGTCAATAATCATAAACCAAGGAGGATGTGAATCAAAGACTATAATGAAACCATTCCTAAATTAAGATGAGGGAATAAACACATGTTGCCAACAACTCCCTTGGCATCTATAATTTATACCAAATTAGCAAACTAAACCTCCAACTTAGAGCACTGCCCCACTATTATCTGCGAAACAAAGAAGAGAGAGAGCAAGTCAAACTCCTAAAACTTCCTAAGTTGCTAAAAAAAAGACATAAAGCTGGGCCTAGATTTGCTAAAGGAACACAGAACTGAGTGTCATTCTAAAACTGGGAAAGGTCTTCAACATAAGCAAATTTTTTTTTTTTTAATAGCTGTCCTCAAGTTGATTTTGACGCATGGCAACCCCATGTGTGTCAGAGTAGAACTGTGCTCCACAAGGCTTTCAATACCTGATTTTTCAGAAGGAAATCATTAGGCTTTTCTTCCAAGGTGTCTCTGGGTGGACCTGAACCTGCAACCTTTCAGTTAGCAGCTAAAGGTGCCACCTCAAAATCTGCAGGTAAATGTAGAGACTGACCTGGATTCCCCAGGCAACCACAATACTCTCTTCTCTAAAGGATTTCCCTAGAACTGCACCATCCAATACAGTAACCACTACTCACATGTGTTTACTGAGCTCTTGAAATGTGGCTAATGAAGTTGAGATGTGCTGTTAAGTGTAAAATGCACACTGGATTCCAAAGATGCAGTATGGAAAAAAGAATGCAAAATATCTCCTTAATATTTTTATATTGATTACATATTGAAATTATAATATTTTGTATTTACTGGATTGAAAAAAGATACCGTTAAAATTAATTTCACCTGTTGCTTTTTACTTTTTTAAATGCAGGTACTAGAAAATTTTAGATCATATATAGTAAAAGTTGACAAAGCCAGAACCTGTGTAAGACAGAAACCTGTCAGAGTAAGAAAATACAAATATTTTCTACTAAAACAAGCAACAGAAAAGTGGTAAGACTGCAGCCTTGTCTCATTTTAGGGATCAAAGGAAAACTTTCAAGACCCAGAAAAACAAAGCAGTCCCGTCGAGTTCCAGCTCTCAAAAGTTTCACTGTATATGGTTTGCATTATAGCTTTATTGGACAGCTCTGGTCTACAAGTTCCCAGAGAGATGGATCCTTCTATTTCTTTCCACCAGAACTCTATAAGGGCCTCAGGTGAGCCCAGATCAGGGAGGCTGTGCCTACATCTCACAGGGCCCAGCCTCTGCCTCTGGTGCAAGAGTGAAGCCCCAGACTCCCTGAGTAGACAAATCATTTTTCCATGATGCCAGGGGAGCAGTCATTTGATTGCCATATATTAGCATCCTCTGTATGTCAGGGGAGATAAATACATCAGGTCTTAGAGAACAGGACTATTCAAAACTTCTAGCCTTTAACTTTCTTTCTGGAATTGATTACACAAATCAATAAATCAAATGTAGAGCACGATATTCATAACATCATCAGCCCTATTTACAGTGAAGCACTGCTTTAGTACAAATCATAGAGCTCACAGAGCTAACATTTTTTATCTCATTTTAATACAATAAATTTTGGCTGCATTCAGTCAGTTTTTAAGATATAAATTCCAAAACAGATGCGTGGCTTTAAACATCTGCATTTTAAATTTAAAAAATTCTAGTCAATTTCTATATCTGTTTACTTAGTACTTAGATATGCAAAAATATGCAAGTAGCTTTTAATTAAGGCTATCGATAATGGTATTATGTATTTATGTATCAAAAACAGTCAAGTAGCTTTCTTCTTTCTTTTCTTTTTCCTTCTTTCATTTCTCCCTCCCTCCGTTTTTCCCTCCTTCTCTTCCTTCCTTCTTACCTCAACAAATGCTTATTCAGTCTGTGCCAGGTACTGAGCTAGGTACAGAGGATACCATGATGAACAAACAAGACTGGGTAGCAGCCCTCATGGGACATTCAGTTTATCAGGACAGTTACAAACTAATCAAATAACCTGGCTTCCCTGAAGAAACTGAGGGTTAAAGGATGAGAACAAATCACCTTGGTAAGAAGTGGAGAGAAGTTTTCCAGGCAGGAAAATAGCAAGTGCTACAGTTCTGTGGCAGGGAACATGGCCCTTACACAGTGTGTCTATGGATCATTAATGGCTGGAACCTTGAGAACGAGGGAGAGCATGGTAGAGATGAGGCCTAGCAGCAGAGGGTAAGAGGACACTCATGCAGGACTTCTGAGCTAGTTTACCCTAAGAGCAATGGGAAGTCACAGGAAGAGGTTCGCTATGGCTGTAATTCCAAGAGCAGTCTGGGAGACTGAGCCAGAGTGGAGCAGCCCTGTGGCTATAGTTCAGGCGAGTGATGGTCCTGAGCCTTGGGCTGGAGTGTAAGGGTGGAGTTTTAGAGAGAGGAATGGGTTTGAAAACTATTTAGGAGGAAAAATCTACAGGCCTTCGTGATGGCTCAGATATGGAGGTGGGTGAGTGCAAGGTCCCTAGGAAGACTCCTCTATTTCTGGCTTATACAACCTGATGTTCCTGGAATAGGGGACAATGGAAGAGGATCAGGACTGCAGGATAGGAAGATGGTGAGTTTGGTTTGGGACATGCTGAGGGTTGAGTTGTCTTTAAGATACCCAAGAGTAGATGTGAAATATGTAGTTTGATCCACGGAGCTCAGAGATTTGGGCTAGAGATGCAAATCTGTGACTCATGTGCATAGAGGGGGTAACAGAAGTATAGCTATGTCTCAAGAACACAGATGAGAGACAGTCAACAGAAGGTTGCTGAGAAGATAAGAAAGATGAGATTCAAAGCAGAGAAGCAGGGTTGGGTTTAGCTCTGACAAAGGGCAGCTGCTCCTTCAGTACCAGAAACACATACTAAAACTCTAGGCCTTTTTTGGTTTGTTGAATCTAATGTTTTAGTGGAACCAGTCTCCACCGGACAACATGAGCATGGAAATATGGATAGCTGGGCTAATCTGGGTTTGGATATTGTCAAGAAGAAGACACAAAAATAAAGGGAGCAAGAGAAATTAAGGGTTTAGCAAGACTGATACTGAAATGATGACCTATAGAATCTAAATTAGAAGAAATTAGAATCTGGATTAGAAGGGAAATGACGGGGAAAAATGACGGATGGATTGGTCGAAAGTAGCTGGGACAATGGACTAGACATTGCAATGAGGTCAAAGTATAACCATAGTGGGGTAGGTAAATCAACAAACTAGAAGGAGAAGAGGTCCTGATAGAAGTAAAGTGACTGGCTCTTTGCAAGAGTACCTGATGCGATTGCACCTAGCCAGCAGCTGCAGTTGCCGCAATTCTATTTACTTCTAAACGATGTCTCCCGTGGCCAGAAACGCACTAAGTTGTCTTCAAGTTCTAAGCATTTGGCAAATAATGGCAAGGACGAGCCACCAGAAACATGCACCTGATTTCCATGACAAATACGGTAATGCTGTATTAGCTAGTGGAGCTACTTTCTGTGTTGCTGTATGGACATATACAGCAATACAAATTGGAATAGAATGGAACCTGTCCCCTGTGCAGAGTCACCCCAAAGGAATGGAAAGATCAGTAATCAAACCAGCTGGTGGTATAATACTGAACTGTTTCAAAACCAACTCATCATTGATGCCAAGTAAAAGCACTGTGTACCCATTAAAATACAGCATTATTGAAGAAATAAAGTACATTTGAAACTTTAAAAAAAAAAAGAAGAAGTAAAGTGACTGATTTAGTTCAGAAACAGAGCAACTACTGGGCACGACGAGGTCCAAAGTATGGCCCATGGGAGTCAGTGGCTGAGTAGAAGAAGAAGAAGGTTTTTGGAGAAGTACCTTGAGGATCCAAGAGCCATCACATTGGGCAGCTCCTCCATGTGGATATTGAGGGCTCTGGGAGATTTTCAAGGGTTTGCAATGAGGAGGAAGATAATAAGTCAGGTGCCAACGTGCTCAGTGAATGAGGGGAAATGACCCTGACAAACAACGAGGGGAGGAGGAGAGGGTGACAGAGTTGAAGGGCACGACCTTCAGAAGAGCATGTTTTTGTTGTTGCTCTCTCTAACAACCAGTTTGATGAATAATGATCTAGAAATAAAACTGTCTCAGGGGGACAACAATATCTTCACCTATCCCTGAAATACATGAAGTATCAGGAAATAATAATGTTATCACTTGAGAGGGCTACAAGAGAAGCAGTGTCTCAGGGGAGAACAGGAAGGTGAGCAGAGCTTTGAGAAGTGACAGAGATGATACAGGGGAGCGTACGTCAGGGTGCAGCAGTTACACGGGGCAGTAGAAGGGTTTGAGAGGTGAGGAAGGGTGGGTGCTGGATTGCAGCAGACACGGAAGGACCATTATGGAGATAATGGTGCTGTGGAGAACAGATGGTGGTAGGATAAGGTTGACTAATAAAAACAGGAATGACAGATTTTAAGTAAAAATTCATTCGGAGATGAATGCACACTGATCCTGGTAGTCAGGGAATTTGTTTCACATGACCGAGGTGGTGACAGACCAGGTACAACGGTCTCCATGTGCTGTACGGGCTGGATAATAAATCTAGAACAAAGTTTCTCAGCCGCAGCACTATTCACCTTTGGGGCCATACCATTCTGTGTTGTAGGGGGCTGTCCTGTGCATTGTAGGATGTTTCACAGGAGCTCTGGCCCTGTTAAACACTGTAGGATGTTTTTATCTACCCACTAGATGCCAATATCACCCTTCACCACCACCACCCCTCATCAGTGACAACCAAAAGTGGCTCTAAGAAAAACAAACAAACAAACCCGTTGCCATCAAGTCAATTCCAATTCATAGCAAGGCTACAGGACAGAGTAGAACTGCCCCATAGAGTTTTCAAGGAGTGACTGGTGGATTGAAACTGCTGACCTTTTGGTTAGCAGCCGAGCTCTTAACCACTATGTCACCAGGCCTCTAAAGTGTCTCTAGACACTGCCAAATGCCCCCTGAGGGTTAAAATCATCCCCCATTGAGAACCACTAATCTAGAGCAACAGACTCACACAAGGAGTGCAGAGACATTGCACTGTAGTAGCAATGCCCTCGTCTCTGAACACATTTTTGAACAAGTTATCCCTGGTAGCTTCAGAGCCATAGAAAGTCAGACTCAGTATTTAATTGTTGTTGTTAGTTGCCATCAAGTCAGCCCCTGACTCATGGCAAGCCCATGCACAACAGGATCGAATCTTTGTCGTCTGCTGGGTTTTCACTGACTGATTTTTGGAAGTAGATCGCCAGGCCTTTCTTCCTGGTCTCTCAGACAATCTTAGTCGGGAAGCACTACTGAAACCTGTTCAGCATCATAGCAATATGAATTCTTAACCTAAAAAAAAATGTATTCCCAGGTTTATTGCCCTTCTTATTCTTGACTCCAAATGTCTTTTGACAAAACAAATCCACCCTTAGAGGATGATGAAGATTTTCCTCCACTGAGTATATGCAAACGAATGACCTGCATTTTCTCACTGGCTGCCTCTCAGTTTTTGGAAGGTGCCAACCTCCTCCCTGCCTCTTGGCATTTCCCAGGTCACTCCTTCCTTCAGATCTCAGTTTATACAGCCCTTCCTCAGGAAAGCCCTTCCTTTCTGTATCTAACCTGTGTTTTTCCTTCAAAGCACTTTTCACAATTTGCATTGTTACCGGTGTGATCATTTGTTTAATATCGGTTTCCCACACAGAAAATGTGCTTTATAAGGGCCTGGATCTTATCTATTTTAGTCACTGCTATATTCCCAGCAACAAGCTGAGTGCTTTGCTCAATAAATATTTGTTAAATAAATGAAGTATTAGAAGAAAATGTAAGGAGCATTTTGATAAGTGATTGCAATAAGCGGGACAATATCCATATACATTGTATGGTTTTCTGATTCATTTTTGAATGACATACCTTCATAGCAGTGTACCTTTTGTTAGAGGGAGGGTGGCATCCTAAATAAGAAAAAGATTAAAAACAAAGAAAAATGCAGTATTGTTCAAAGAAACATGAAATGTACCTAGGTTTGACTAGTAACTAGGTCACAGCAGTTAGCCCTTGTGCAACCATACTAAATTCACAACAGCTTTCACTGTTTGTTTAATTCATTCAAATATCTGTGGAGCCTCTGCTCTGCTCTGCTCTGCTCTGCTCTTGGTGCAAGAATGTGCAGTGTGACTATTTCAGAGCTCCCAACACCCAAGCAAGAACGTACCCTACAGGATATACCTGAGGCAGCGTTCAGACGGCATTCTCCAGCTGGGTTCCTCAGGGTCTTGGCCTTAGAAGTTTGCACAGGAGTCAGCAAGCATTCCAGCTGCATAAAAAGACAAGAGGAAAGAAAAACATTAAGCTAAAAGCAAAAAAGCACACCCTAGGCCTTCAGGATCCTAATGCTTTTAGAATCCCTAGGAGGCACTTTGGAGCATTTTCTAGCCCAGATGCAACTTTCTGACTCAATGCTCTTTTACCAAGCAACAGTTCCATACATTTAAGTGTTTTAGTTTTCTCACATTATTGGAGTTTCAGGGACCAGGAAGTAGGATGAGTTTCAGAATCAACAATAGCTAATTGGAGGTTGAAGTAAAAATGAAGTAAAAATGAAAAGATGGCCAATGGGAAAAATTAAGATCTGATAAAATAAAGCTCCAAAGGTCTAAGCCACAAGTAGCTAACTTGCCGTTTCTAGAGATTTTACTTTCCTGTCAAACATGAAGATTAGTGAAACTAAGTTAAAAACAAGTATCCTCTTGGCTAAGTGTCTACAGAGGGATGATTTTCTATTCAAGAAGAATTCTAAAAACTAGATGAGAAAAACAACATATAGAGAGGATGAAATCAGAAGACAAAAATATTCTTACAGGAGCTTCAGAACTAACATAATTAGAAATACAGATGGCGTTGTCAGATTTGACACTGCATCTTGTCTGTATATTTATCAATTCCCCTTTCCCCTTTTGTTTTTAATTGTTAATGGAACTCTAAACAGAAAATGAGTTATTTCAATATCTGGGACCTGGTACATGACTACGCTTTATAACTCTCATTAGAGTCTAGCTCCCATTTTCTAATATACTCAAGTGGCAAAACTAATTACAATCTGGACAATTGAAACAGGCTCCCTTCTGTCTCTATTTTATTTTGAAAAGCATTAACTTAGGATGAAAACACTTAAATAGAGACTATGTTAAGCTGTTAGGAGCACTGGTAGCACAGTGGCTAAAGCACTAGGCTGCTAACCGATAGGTCAGTGGTTCAAATGCACCAGCAGCGTGAGGGAGAAAGATGTGGCAACCTGCTTTCATAAAGATTAAAAAAAAAAAAAACCAAAGCCATTCCCATTGAGCCGATTCTGACTCATAGCAACGCTATAGGACAGAGTAGAACTGCCCCATAGGGTTTCCAAGGAGCTGCTGGTGCATTCAAACTGCTGACCTTTTGCTTAGCAGCTGAGCTCTTAACTACTGCACCACCAAGGCCCCGCATAAACATTACAGACTTGGAAACCCTATGAGGCAGTTCTTCTCTGTCCTATAGGGCCGCTGTGAGTTGGAATCCACTCGATGGCAGTCGGTGTTTTTTAGTTTATGTTAAGCTGTGCCTCCTTCTATTGATTTGTATAAAAGAGAGCTATAATTACAATCTAAAATATAGTATTTGTTATATTATATACAAACCCTCAATTGGTATGATTTCATAATAGTTCATGTAAAATTGTCATAATTTAAGTACTCCATTTATTGAAGATTAGGTTGTTTCTAATACTTTTTATAAAATTATATTTTTATTTACTTTCTTTTCTACTATTGAAAATAAGGTACCTATACTTTCATTTAGTTCTAATTTAAGTTTTGATAAACCTAAAAATGAGCATCATTTTTAATGATCCTTTATGAGTGAGCAGTACAGAGGATCAGAATAATTCAAGGCACATAGTTGTTTAATTAGCTAAGAGATTTCTCTACCAACATAACACTCTACAGTTTCCCTTCAGAATCTGGATTATAAACTCCAGGCTCTTATAGCCTAACACAAACACTAACAGGGATGGACATTTGAGCTTTAAAACTACAAAGAACACTTATTACTACAGACAGATGAAAAACCTTCATCTTTCAGGTTTATATTTTTTGAAACACTCCCAACCATTAGGTGGATAGAGAACAAGGATCCTGAAACTTCATATTTTTTCAGATATTTCAAACATGATAATTAAAAAATCACAAAATAAATTAAGTTCCCTTCTATAGATACTTATTGTTTAGACACCAAATCACTAGATTAGCTCTCCATCTAATTATAATCTGCTACAAAGTTTAGTGAAATGGACACCATTTAAAGGTGGCTTACAATGAGTTAAGATGAATCATCACTCTATATAATTTGTATATTTATATGTATAATAAATACTATTTATTAGTACTCTTTTTACTATATATTATTTACTATTTACTATATATTTATATGGAAACCCCAGTGGCATAGTGGTTAAGAGTTTGGCTGTTAACCAAAAGGTCAGGAGTTTGAATCCACCAGAGGCTCCTTGGAAACACTATGGGGCAGTTCCCCTCTGTCCTATAGGGTCGCTATGACTTGGTATAGACTCGACAGCAATGGGTTTGGTTTGGGCTTTTTAAATATTTTTATACAGAGCCCTGTGGTACAGTGTTTAAGAGCTACAGTTGCAAACCAAAAGGTCAGCAGTTGGAATCCACCAATCGTTCCTTGGAAACCCTATGGGACAATTCTCTGTTCTATAGGGTCACTATGAGTCAGAATCGACTTAACGGCAATGGGTTTGGTTTTGGTTTTATATATTTATACAGGAGGCCTGATGGCTCTGTGATTAAGTGCTCAGTTACTAACCAAAACATTAAGCACTCGGCTACTAACCAAAAAGGTCAGCAGTTTGAACCTACCAGCCGCTGTGCAGGAGAAAGATGTGGCAGTCTGCTTCCATAAAGATTACAGCCTTGGAAACCCCTTACAGCAGTTCTACTCTGTCCTATAGGGTCTCTATGAGTCAGAATCCACTCCACAGTAATGGGTTATACATTTATACATACACATTATATTATTAAATTTAAATTAAAATTTGTGAACAAATACATTTATCTTTATAAAAGTTTCCCTTAACTGAAGAACAATATACAGTACATGTACTTGTAAGATGGAGCCAGACAGGCCTCTTCTTCCACCTCCTCATCCTTTTTCCAGTTCCTGGGATGTAGATACCTTCCTAACCTAAGGCTCTTTCCTCTTCCCAGGAGCCTAGGAAGATGCAGGTAAGTCTCCTGCACTTTTCTCTCCTCAGAATCCAGAAATGGATTCAGGGCGGGGCCAGCTTGGTGTGGCACTACAAAGTAGAGCAACAGGAAGAAAGGCTAGCGTTCCTCTGCAGGTATCTCCACACACCACTGGAGATATAATCACACTTACTGCAGGGAAGGAGCCCTGGTGAAGCAATGATTAAGAGGTCGGCTGCTAGCCGAAAGGTCAGTGGTTCAAACTCACCAGCAGCTCCAAAGGAGAAAAGACCTGGTGATCTCTCTCCTGAAAGATTACAGCCTAGGAAACCCTATGGGACAGTTATACTCTGTCCTGTAGGGTTGCTATGAGTCAGAATCGATGGCACACAACAATAACAGCACCACAGGGAGCGCTGTGTGAGGTTGGAAGCATATGAGGTGGCTCTTGTTTGGTGAATTAAACACCTTCAAGGTCCCTTTCAGCTGTGAACTTCTACAACTTTCTGAGCCCATTAGCTCCACAGGACCAATTATCCTACGAGTACCAGAATGTACTAGTCTCAACCCCTCTACATCCATGGTTCTAAAACGAGGGCCTGAGCCATTGTTCTGCCTGTTCCCCTCAGGGCAGAATGCATCTCCCAGCCTTGCCTCACTTTAAGGGTCAGCGCTCCCAAGGTTTGAGGTCTGTTCCACTGGCCCCCCCTAATTCCCTAAACAGGGTCCACATTAATCCCCTTAGGTTCTAAGCATCCATCAATTAGCCCAAAATCAAATGAAGTCCCTGAGGACTGGCCCCAACCATCAGTGCTGTACACCTAAGGCAGGTTTGAAACGTAGTTTGACTAAAAATACCCCAAAATTTGGGAGATTTCTTCTGCCACTGGTTCAAACAATAAATATTTCTTGAGGGACAACTTTATGCAAGATCCAGAGTTGGGTCCCTAGGATACAGTAGTTAATAAATGACTTCCTACCTTTACAATCTTCATTAACTTTTCTCAAAGCCATCCCAAATAAGCATACAACCCAGAGCACAGTGTCTGCTATGCAAACACAGCTTCAAGACCAGTTCCTAGCCTTTCCTTTCCAACCAGAATGACTGCCTTCAGCAGTATCCTGGCCACTGCCAGTACTGTGTAAGTAAATCTTTAATTATACTTGTGATAAATGCTTCAGAAAGAGAAGTACGAGGAGCTCTGAGTACAAGTACAGTTTCCTCATCTTAAAAAGTAATAGTACCTACCTTATAAAGTTGTGAGGATTAAATGAATTGAAATTCTTAGAATAGTGCTTATCACATGGTGTTATCTGTTATTATTATTGATAGTTTATTATTGTTTTAACACAGCAGGGGTTCTTGGTCCATCCTTTGTGGTCAAGGAAGGGGCTTCCTTGAGGATGTAACATCTGAACTGAGTTCTGAAAGATAATTATGTACTGCCTGGATGAAGGGGTAAGGGGAGGGGTGGTTGACAGACATTCCAGGCAGAGCCAATAGCCTGTGCAAAAGTCCTAGGCAGAAAAAAAGCAGAGCCTGTTAGAGGCCAGAAAGAAGATTACGAGAGCAGCATGAAAAATGATGGTTTTTATCCTAAAAGCCACAGGAGCTCTGGCTATGGCTTGGAGATTGTTAGAAAGGTGCTAGAGTTTCTAGGGCTAAAGGAACAAAAGCCAGCCTCCTACTGATTGTCCCATTGTATAAGGGTAATTACCAGTCCACACAATCAACCTCTTCCCAACACTGAAATCCCTGTGGCTGTGGGATGCCATCTACTCATCCTCAGCAAGCATTACTCAACAACAGAACCAAGGACTTTTCTCCTGAGCTAAACACACGCAGCAGGCATTGACTCACTGCTTGGCTAAAACGGAATTCCCTATTCAAATTGGCTCAACTCTCCCCATCAGTGGTTGGTAAATTCGGAAGTGATGTCTCAAAAGAGATACCTTAAACTGAGGAGCAGATACTCAGGGTTCTGCTACTAACTCGATCCAATCCAGTCTCTTCATTTGCACATACATTGCACTTTGGTAGAGTGGACGCTTCTTGTCATGTCTGCCTAGC